TATATTAACATGGGGTAGAAATTGGGGTGGTGCAGCTATTTGCCTTCCCTCTGAGGAGGAGTCGATGCTCAGAATGGCTGGGAGCAGCTGTGGCTGCCTCAGAGTAGATCCTTGCTTACACTCTACCTCCAGCACTGCTTTCGGTGGCATGGGGGCTTCTATTTACCTCTGTAAGACTCCAGTCCTTAAAAACCCCCAGAAATCCTCCCAAGCACTCAAGTTTCATGATCCTTGGTGTAAAATAATTACCCAGGCAAATTAAGCATTATGATAGCTATGGGTCTTTGTAATTAATTTTTGACTTGTTGCTGTTCACTGTCACTGACTATCCCCTCGGGTCTTCGCTGCTGCTCTGGAGAAGAATAAATAAAAGACATCAACCTAACTTGTGCTATTGGTATCTGATGCATCTGCTCAGTATTGTCACTTATGATGATACATGTACAGATTTACAGCATATATATGTGTGTGTATATATATGTATATAATGTAGGGGGTTGTGTCTGGGGCTTATCTTGTTCTCCTGACATGAACCACGGGGTGTTTGGAGTTGTTTTATAACTAAGTGTGGCAGGAGGTTCTTTATTCCCTGGGGTTGGCTGGGATCTGGTGGTGGGTGAGTGAAACAACAAAGTTCTTCCCTGGCAGTTTTCCCAGCAGAGCCTTCTAGTTTGGCTACAACTGAACAGTCTCTGGCAGTAACTTCACTGCATCCAGTCCAAAGTACAGTTTAACTGCTGTAGCTGCTACTCACACTGGGACGTACTGGGACCCAGTTTCCTACTGGAAAACCTCTTCATCTTCCCTCCTCCACTACAATAAAGTCTATAAATATCAGCGAGTTGCTGTTGACATCCCTGTTTCGTACATGATGGAGCAGAATAGCCTTACTGACACCAGTATATATTTAAATCCACTGGGATTTTCCATATAAATGAGAATTTTGTTTCCCAAAACTACCCAATACCATGTCTCTCCCTCTAGTCCCTGCCTAGACTCATTGCTGCATCTTTAACCCTTGCTCAGCTCCTTATTAATATTTCTGCCTCTGTGGGAGAGATGCCAATGAGACTGAAAATAGTTGCTGATGTTAATTTGACCTTTATGAATTTAAATTCCAGACTCACCCCAGGGGAGTCAGTGAGTGAATGAGAGAGCAGTGGCACGTGGGCTGCTAGAGCAGTGTCAGTGCTTTGGGAGCTGAGCTGGAGTGGGTGGAAAGGCTCTTGGTCAAATTGTCACCCACTGCAAAAGGTGTTACCAACTTATCTGATAGTGCCTGTGAAGGATATATTCTCATCACTCACTGCTTCTTAGCCTAAGGAACAATTAGATTTGCCTTATTTAATGCAAAGCTACACTCCCTTTCCCCCTTGAAAAAACCTTCAGTTAAAAAAACACAGACATTTATTTTTTTTCTGCTTAGATTTGGTGTCATTTTTCTTTGCTTCAGGTGAACTGGCACTGGCATGAAACATTTCTTTCCTGACAAGGAATTTTCTGTGCTTCCCTCTCTCTCCTAAGCAGACACAGAGGCTTGAGGATACGAATTCCTCATGATAACAAGCTCAAAGAAGTGGATTGTGCATCCAGGACCAGAGGGGGGTGTGAGCAATTGGGTGGCAACTCCTTGGACTCATGCAGGCTTGAGAACTACAAATGGCAAAATAACCCTTTGAGAGTGCTCCAAGCTTGCACCACTTGAGTGCTTTCTGCTGAGCTGCTTTGGAAAAGCCTCATTATTAATTAGGAAGAAGGTTTCCCATCTTCTCAGATTCTCCTTTCCCTCCCCAGGGAAGCAGTCCTGCAGCTGCAGGGAATGCTTTGCTTCAGTGGATGAAATGACCTTGTCCCTCCCTGATGGACTTTGTGACAGGGCAAGAAGCAGCTGCACACAGATCCTGAGGAGTTGAAATCATCAGCCAGAGGAATCCATGGTCTGAGCCAGTCCATGGGCTGAGAGCCTTTGGGACAGCACCTATCCACGCCAGACAAGGGATGCTGATCCTCACTGTGTTCCTTGTCAAGCCTAATCTGAGACTTTCATGGCTTGCAGATGTTTGGGGGTGTAGCTGACCTGACTTCCCAAATGCACCACATTGACCTGTCCATATATCAGGAATATCAGTCCAGCCTGATATTCCTTCTTCACTGCTACTGTGGGAGGCAGCTTTCTGATGGAGCATCCAGCTGTGCCAGTGTGCCCTGTGTCCCAGTCCCAGCCAAAATCGGGGACTCACTGACAGGAATTTTTGATGGTACCTAGACTATCAAGTTGGAGCCTCACAATGAGCCTGAATTCCCAGGGATATCACCCTGCACTGGGGGCTCAAAGGAAGATGGGTAAAACCATGGAGATAAGATGTCAGCGCAAGGGGGCCCCCGGCCAGGTAGTAATTAGCATAGACTCCATGCATTTACAAAAGGCATTAATTATTATTTATTAAGAAACCCATTGCTTTTTTATACCCTAGTTCGCTACAGGTGGACCTAATTGGTCCTTAAAACACCATCACCACTGGCTAATTAAGAAACCACCCTTTGATAAACAAATCTCCATAACACATTCTACATGTTCACAATACCAGGTGCAGCAAGCGAAGATAAGAATTTTTTCTCATTCTTTTCTCTGCTCTTCTCACAGCCTTTCCCAGAACGATGCCTGGGAAAGGTCTGTTTCTCTCTGTGGCCAGAGAGCTGCTGCCACAATAAGAGGGCAGGACAGGAGAGCTCTGTGAGGCTCAGGTGTTCCATGTCCTGGGATGAGAGTTTGCATCACCTGCAGCCCCTCAGCCTAGACAGCATTACCCCAGTGTGCCTCTACCCTCCACACAACTGCTGTGGTAGAGACTTTTCCAGCTCAGTGCACATGCCTAGAGAGTGCTGGCACCCTGGTGACATCACTGTCCAGCTACATATCGTCTTTAAAACTGAGACATTAAGGGACTGGTAACCCAGGAGAGGAGGAGAGCCCATGGTGGGCTGTGTTTTGGAGGAGGGATGCTGCACAAAGGCATGAGGCAGTACCTGTCCATGCATCCAGCAGATCCCCTGATGAGCCACGTGCTGTGAGACTGCTGGGCTTGTGCTATCAGCATGTGTCATTTCCCAAGGGTTGTGAAGGCATTAACAAATTAAGTCTCAGGGCCCTGCTGCAATTCTCATTAGCATCACCCTAACAACTCTTCATGTTAAATAGCTCAAATCAAAGTTTCCAGTTTAGTAAATATCCCTCCATAGGAATTGCTGTCTCCATCAGGCAGGGCCTAAATGAACCCCAAGGACCAGGACTCGTGCTGAATTCCACTTCCCAAACAGACTTAAGACAATTTCACTTCTGTCTCTTGTTCTAAGTCCCCTCCTCCAGCTGGAAGTGGCTCTCACATGTGCCAGCCTCATCCAAATGAGTTGCTCAGGAATTGCAGGTTGCATGTGTAGAAACAATGGACAATTTGCAAATCTGAAGCCTCACAGTCTCCCCTCTGCCGGTGAGATGGACATTGAGGTGCACTAAATCCTGACTGTAATCATACTGAGAAATCCCCACTGAGCAAACCCAATCCCTGCAGAAAGCAGCGCTCAGTGCTTGAGGATGGTGGTGATTCCAGGGCAATCAATCAGCAAACCACAGCAGAAATTCTCCCACCTTTCTGACCTCTCCTTTGGGCTTCAGAGGTTCCAGCAGTGGGTGGAAAAGGCCATGATCTGGGCATGAGGATTCTCTAGGACCTGCCTGCTGCCCTGGGTCGGGATTTATCACAACTTAACATGGCCAAGGACAGGCCCTCGCTGAGCAGATGAAACCTTCAGGGAGCAAAGCACATGAGTGATGACCAAGTTTCTTGTCTGACCAGACATCCAAGCAGTGCCATTCCACAGACAGCTTTTGATGTCCTCTGGCTTTCTGCCTCCACCTCGTGGGCTTGGGAAGCTTCTTTCAGGTCAAGGTAGCCTAAACTTGGCCAGACACTGGATTAGCTGGTGGCAAGATGGGATTTGTTAAAAAGGAGGTGTTAATGGGTGGTGGGCAGCCATTCCTCAGCTCTGGGTCCCCATGACCATCCCTCAGTGCCCAGTCCTATGGTCATTCCTCAGTGTCCAGTCTTGTGGCCACCTGTCAGTGCCCAGTCCTGTGGCCATCCATCACCCTGACAAAGAGTTCCTTGGTGTGTGCTTTGATTCTCACTCAGTCATGGAAAATCAACACTGCAGCATCCCAGAGCTGGGGAGGACTTTTCTCCTTGTCCCTGTGAGCTCCACTCCTCACACTTCTCACTTCTCCTCCCCCAAAACCTGTCAGTGAACCAGACCTGTCACTGCTGAGGTGACATCCAAGTCACATCCTGAATATAGGCCAAAAGCCAGTTTTGGCACAAGCTCTGACCTGATTGGATCAAACCCATGTACAATGCTGAGCAGGGCTGTACATGACTCTGCTGCTCCACCCATCAGGGTTGAGCCCGCCCTGGCCATAGTCATGTCCCCAGAGGCTCTTTGTGACTGGTGGCCTCCCAAATGCTCAATGGTACCTCTGTAGAAGTGCTGGGGGCAAAAGTTGGCTGAGCCCAGAGCCATGGTGGCCACACTGCACTGGTGACGTGGTCCCCACAAAAAGTCAAAACCTCCAGTCATCATCTCTGGGCAGGGGGATAGTAGAGGAGGGTGGACAGAGGGGCCAAAGTCCTGGTGTCCCTGGGCATGGCATGGAACAGGCAGCCAGCCCTGATGTCTCTTTGTCCATCTCTGCCTCTGCCCAACAGACATTTATTTTCTCTATTTTCATCTCCTGAGATCTGCACCTTCCACCTGCCTCCTCTGTCATCCTGCAAGGAGGCTGCAGCAGCACCAGCAGAGGGCTGCGATGCAGCATCGGCGTGTCCCACCTCCCAAGAAAGGATCCATGCATCAGCAGATGAGTCCGGAGACACCCCTGACACCCTCTTCCAAGCACTGGACCCCTGGGAGGTGGCTCGAACGGGCTGGGGCTGGGGGACACTCACCAGTGTGGTTGGTGACGGGTGGCAGGCTCTCGCAGTACTGCTCCTGGATGGAAGCTGCAACCGGGCTATCCCAGAGGAGAAATGCCTGGATGGGGAGAGAGCAGACGGGGTGGGGTTATGTGTGCAATATGCTGCTTCCCCATCCCGAAATGCCTCCTTGGGTCAGATCTGAGCTTGCCCATGTCTGGGTGGGCACCACCCCCAAAGCTTGGGCACCACCCCCAAAGCTTGCACAGTGGACATGTACCATTTACAGGATGGCTTCCTAGGGAAGCTGTGCTTATCTGAGCCGAAGGCTGGGGGACCCAGTGATCCTCTCCTGCCTCAAATATCCCCCTCAGCAAACCCTCCTGCAGCCCCTGCTGAATCATGGAACCTCTGCTATTTATCATTTTAATTAACACTTTTGGGTTTACTATCTTTCAATCCTGAGAGCAGACAGGGGAAACATGATGAGCCTGACACTACGCTTGGATTTTCAATCCCTTACTGAAATCACAGCCTTGTAAGCTGTCAGTGGAAAGATGTTCATATACATCCTTAAGGAGATCTGATCCATGGACAACCAGCTCTGGCTAAAGCCTTTTTTTTTTTTCAGGAAAATTGTCAGCAAACACCAACATTCCCATTGAGACAGAAAGCCCTGACCACAATCTACCCAGCTCTGCTAAAACTCTGCACAAGGAGCAATTTTGGAAGAATGATTATTGAATTTTTGTGCCTTTGAAGGAGTTTGGGGAAACTAAAAGTGAGAAAGGCAATTGCCAGGATGAAGGGATTGCAAAGATGGCAGAGGGATGGTGCTGTCATCTCCTTCCCTCATGTGGCACAGCTCACCACGGTGCCACATGAGGGAAGGAGAGGACCTGATATTTTGCAGAAAAGGGTGACACAGGCTCATCCCCTCTCCTCCACCAGCACTAATGGTGGATGAGGCTCAACTCCACTTCTTTCACCTTCAGCGACTGACCAAAGCCCCTGGAGAAAAGTCACTGATTAAATGACAGAGCTGCGTCCCAGAAGACATCACATACAGATCCCCTGAGAAACAGCCCTGAGCCTGAAGGCAGGAAGGGCTGCACCTCTCCTGCATGCAGGCAAGCTCCCAGCTCCTCAGGGACAACCTTATCTGCCTTGCCCATCAGCCAGGCTGATTCCTGGTGCCTGACCCCCCTTCCTGAGTGCCATTTACCTCCCAAACTGCTCTGAACACAGAGAAGACATTCCTCCTCTTGTCCTTGAGCCATAGAAACACTGTCTGCCCTTGCTGGCATACCCAGCCATCCTCCTGCTGTACCAAGGCATTAACAGGATTTATTCAGACACAGAGACAAGCTCAGGACCCACTTGCTCTTTTCCAAACAACTATTTACTGCCTTGGGAAGCTGGTTTTGACAGCAAGAGTGATGTCAGGCAGATGTATAAATGGAGCTGAGAATAGCTGCCTTGTTGTGACTGATCCAGATGGCACAGAGGATCTGGCAGCTCAGCCCTGCCCTGGTGCAAGAGCTGTTTGGAGCTCCTGGGTGCTGGTCTTACAGAAGCCCAGCACCTCCTGAGTCTGCTTTCAGAAAGCTGAGACCACTCAAACTCCAGATAGGGAGGAATCTTGGTGCAGGGAGTCTGCTCCCCTCTGTGTTGATGCCCATAGCTGGTGGTCACCACACCTGGTGGCTCTTGGCATTGGCAGCTGGGACAGAAGGGTTCTGCCCAAAAGATGTCTGGGATGGTTTGTCTATCTGAATAGGCTTTCAAGTGTTAATTGGATGTGTTTCTCCTAATCCCAGCCTGTTCCAGCCTGGTAGTGCCCATTCTCCTTCCAGACACAGAGAGAGGTCTTGGCACTGAGCAACACATGGACCAAGCCAGAGACAGAGAGGGGTGTGGATGGAGTAGTCACTGGCTTTTTGCAGGCTTTGTAAATGAGCTGAAACAGCTACAGAAGGAAGAAATAAAGGAAAAAAAGGATCCCCAAAACAGAACTAATACTAAGAGCTTTTTTAACAGGCTCTGAGTCTTTTACTGCTATGTGGCCATAGCTCTTGATAGAGGCAGAGTTTTGTCCCAATCCTGTCAGCATTTTAAGGGGAATAAACAGGCATGGTGGCAGCTGCAGGGGGATTTGCCCCAGTGAAAAAAATTCTTATTGCTGGTCACTGTCCTGTCTGTTTTGCTCTTTGTGGGTTAGTACAACCCCTCTCCACACTTTTACAGAGAGAACAGGTCAAAGCTCCGTCCTTGAGGATCTTCTCGTGCCAGAGCATTGCTGCTCTATAAGATGCCACATGGTGCCCAGCAGGACCCAGCCTGGCTAGGCTGGAGCCAAGCTCACCTCAAGAGCCCCAACACAGCAGTAGGTCGTGCTCAGGCCAGAGAGGGGCTGTGTTCCTCCGCCCTCCTGACCTGTCTTCACACAGCTACGGCAGATCCCACTCTGCACGCAGAACTACCTCTGTGACCTCTCTCATCCTGCCAAAATCCTGGAGAGCCTCAGCTGAGCTCTCAGCTGTCCGGGAAAGAAGGCAATCTGCTCGTCTGGAAGCAGCCACTTAGCACAGAGCTCCCCGTTAGCCAGGGGAGCTGCTCCCACCGGCATGGAGGATGGCTCTGCCAGGAGCTGCATGGGCCCTGTGAGTGCCCGCACTGGCAGCAGCTTCTTCTCCATCAGGAGCCACCATTGTCTCCCTGCCTCAGCATCCATCCAGCTCCCTTCCAGGCTCTGTAACATCCCTGTTTTATACACAGAGATGGTTGTGGTTTAGTCTTGGACCTCACGGAGCACCAGCTCCTTCCTTTCATGTTCACATTTTCTATAGCAGTACCAGCCCCCCAGTCCTCACTGCACAGCTCAGACACAAAACCCTGACACTGCTCCCATGTTTCCTGCATCCCACACAGAGCAAACATCTGTTGTGGTTGGTGTCCCACCACCCACCATGCCAGGGTTGTCCCAGAGGGGAAACTGAGGCACTGAGGACCATCTGTCTCAGGTCACTCAAGCTGTGGGGCACCGTGTGGGACAGATTTATCCAATCTGGACACACCAACCATGTCCTGGTGCCACCAGGGCTCCAAAAAAACCCAGCTGTTCCTCTGCCTGTGATGGGACAGGATGTCAGGTCCCCTGGGCCAGGAGATGCAGCATTGTGGACTAGGACAGTGTCAGCTCATCAGCACTGGGAGTCTGGCTGCTGCTGTGGGGGTGAGCAGCACAATCACACACACTTGGTGTCAGTCTCTGTGACCTGCCACTGACCTGGCAGAAAAATTCAATTAATAACAATTAAGAATTAATATCCCCTTGCAGCGCTTTTGCTCTCCAAAGCAATCCATGGATACTAATTAATACATTCACATCCAACTGCACTATCACCCCCCTGTATTGTGCTACCCAGAGACAAACGTGTCCACCCCACTATAATGTTGCCACAAAAAAGAGGGGATCTGCATGGCAGGAAAGGCTGACAGCTCTGAGCATGAGACAGATGGCTTGTAGCGTAATTAGCAATCTAGGAGGTCCAGTGCCGAGGGGCTGTAATTGAAGAGCTGACTGATTAGCGGGATTGAAGCCTGGGATGAAGCTGTGTGAGACAGGGGCTTTGTACAGAGCTGGAGAAGTGGGAGCAGTGGACAGTAGTGGCCACTGTGACCTTCCTGGGAGGGGGGACAACACCATCCACTCTGGAGTTGTCCTTGCTGTAGGGACCTCTCTGACCAATCAGTTCTGCTCCCTGGCTTGGCTAGGCTTGCTGCTCACTACAACACTTGGTGTGGAAGAGGGAAGACCTCCTGGAACACAGAGCAGGAAAGGGCTGAGCAACTGCTGCCCTGGACCTTTCCTGAGGTTCCCTGCGGCATTAGGCTGGGATGGAGCCTGTTCTTGGCTCTGAGCCTTCAGCAAAACATGCCAGACTTTGGGTGTTAAATACAGTGAGTTTTAAAAGAGCTGGATGCCAACTTCAGATGGCAGAGCAGCATTAGTGGTGTGGGGGGGGGAGCAGCACGTCCTGCCAGGACTGCAGCTGGAGGCTGGAGGTGCCCTGCAACAGCCTGATTGAAAGAGCTGCCCTCAAATGTGCTTGCATCTCTTTGCCTTTGTCTCCTCTGGCTTCCAGGCATTGTTTTCTGCAGCTGGGGATCTTCTTACCTGCTCCACTTTGAGGGCTTTTGCTTGGAACAGTTTCCAAATGAAACCTCCAGGCAGATCTGGTCCAGGAAGGACCCTCTGTTTTAGACCTGGCAGTAACCTGTTTTGCCACTCCAAGCCCCTTCACTGCCCTACCAAGCCCCTGTTGCTCCTTCATTTCTCTCCCAAAGCCCCATTCCAAGCCCTGCCATCACTGGGACATCAAGGCAAAGCTCAGGCAATGGAACAAGGCTCAAAGCAAGACTCGTGGGGGAATTTTTCCATGGCTGGTGTTCCTCAGCGGGAGAGCAGGCAGTGAGAACATCTCCATCCTCCATCTGGCATTAAAATCTGCGAGTTTATTAATTTATCTGTATTAGATGGCCAGTCTCTGTGGTGTGTAAACAGGAGCTTTGGTGAGAGTGTTTATTCTGTTTGCAGTCTCTCTCCAAGTGTGCTGGATGCAGATCCTAACAAAAGAATATCAATCAAGGCTAAATAATGCCCTGTAAAAACTGATTTATGAGCAATTAAAGGTTTTCCTGGATTAAGCTTGGGTCTCTGTCACTTGCCATAAATAATTCTGACTTCATTTATCTGTCGTGAGAGACATTAATTTTTAGGGACAGGTTAAAAAATGACAAATGGCATTTGGGTGTTGGAAGCTAAAGGCATCGTCAAGCTGGGAAAGGGCATGCAACCATTCAGCTCCTATGGGATCTGGATTTGCAGGGGCAAAGGCTGCTGAGGAAGACTGGAGTGATGGGCACAAGCCTGGGGGAGGGCTGTTTTTCTAAGGCAATTTTATTAAACTCTCCTGCAGATTGTACATGTGGAACTCCTGTGTATTGACAGCTATTTTCAGTTTGGGATTGGACATTTTTCCCTCCAGCTCTGTCCCAAAACCCTCATCTTGACTGCCCCAAACCCCCTCGTTCACCCATCACCTTTTTAGGGTTGAACATCCACAATTAAATTCCCCATAATTTTTTTTTCTGGTTTATTCACATTCACAGCTCAGGAAAGCTTGGCCACACCAAAGTTGCATCTGCTGGGGTGGATACTGCAGATTTCAGGGTGGAAGAGGGACTGTGATCTGCAGAATACCAACACACTTTGCCCTTGGCCATTGAAATAGAGGCGACTCCTCCTAGGAGGGTGACTGTAGATAAAGCAGAGAAGGAGGGTCTCTTCTATAGCTCAGAATACAGTTAGGGAAAAACAACAGATGGGCCCGGGCTATGTTATTCCATCTTCAGAAAGAGCCACCCTCTCCTGAGTGACAGCTCTGAGGTGTTGGACAATGGCTCCTGGGCTCTGCTTTGTGAGGGAACCCCATGATTTGGGGGTTGATTTGTGCTTTCTTTGGGTTCAAAAACTGTTCTCACAGACAAATCCATGGATGCAGCCTCTCTAAGCACTGCAGACTCAATTGCAGCTTGAGCTTGTCACTCACAATGAACTTCTAGGCTAACCCTGTGCAGGATTTTGGGAGCAGAGCTGGATTTCAGGGCAGGGTTGAGCTGGTGGTGCAGGATATTCTCATTGTATTCCTATACATCCTGTGGTGATAGTGCAGCTATTCTGGGAACAGGCTGTGCCTTTTCCATTCACTTCTTTGCTGGAGATGCAGAACCACAGGGATGATTTCATACACACTGAATCAACTCCAGCTTTTAAGGAAAGCAAGGACTGGAAGAGATCCCCAGGGTCAGCATGTCCTGCAACTGCAGCTCTGCATTTTATGCAAGGATTCAAGCATGGAAGGAGCAGGGGTTGTTTTTGGGCTTATTGCTGCTGGAGGTGGTCAAGTGAAACCAAATCATCAATCCCTGATTTTTCATAAAACACTTTGCAGTTCTATCAGCCACAGAAATGTCATTGGCTCCTGACAGAGATGCAAGTGGACTGGTTTATTTTTAATCACTTTTTTAGTTTGTTTCAATGACTTGCAAGGGTGCCAGGGAGCACTTGGCAGCAAGTTTGGCAGCAAGTTTGGCTGCCTATCTCCTAGTCTGTCTGTCCGACATCCTGAGGGATGTCTATTCAGTAAAGCAACATGGGCAAACTGATGCTAAAGTGGAGGTACAAACCAGGTGCACGGGGAACGCCTAAACTGTGCCAACCCAGTATCTGCAGGGGAGGTTTGTCCCTGCTGAGCTCTGGGTTGGAGCTGGGCTGCTGCAGGTCTCTGCACTCACAGGCAGGATGCTGCTGCAGCTATACCTGGCTGCAGGGATGCACTCATGGCTGGAGTTTCATGGTCCTTTAGTTCATGCTGTCCCCAAGAGAGGGTTAGGACTGTTCTGGAAAAACATCTGAGATTTGAATGCATGTATTTATAAGGAAAAATAGACAGCTTGACTGCAAAGTGGGGGTGGGGGGGGGGTAGTTGTAGATTGGCTGTTTCTTTTTGGAGCCAGCTGGAGAGGCTTCTCTTTGTCTGGTCTGGTTTTTCTGACCCCTCTCTCCTGGTCCCAGCCAGAGTGCAGGGATGGTTTTGTCTCAGAATCTGGAAGGTTTGTGAAGATTTGCTGCTCCACCTTCACAAGGAGAATATCCTTGGGGAACACCTGGGGATGGCAAGGGAGTCCCCCTGAGCCTAAGGAGCTTTGACAGAGGATGGAAGCTGTGTATCAGCACCTCTGGGCTTCTTTTGTACCACTTTTTGCTCACCGAGGTTATTAGGAGCTGTCATGTTCACGTGGCTCTCCCCACCAGAACATGATCTTACTGCACTGGGTCTGTGCTAGACTGGCCAAGAAGGACCTGGGCTGGGGGAAAAGATCCTGCCCTGTGTCAGCTTTATTTCTTACATCAGAGCCCAACAAAACCTGAACCAGGGAAAGTAACAGCAAAATAGCTCCCATAAACCCTATCAATCAGGCTTAGTGGGTTACAGCAATAAGAGAGAGCAGCTGCTCAGAAGAGTTTTTAGAAGCAACACCAACTAGGCAGGAGGTCTGCTGGTGCTCATCAGCTCTTTTCATCATTTAGGTAAGAACTTTCCTGGCCCAGAGGTGCAGCTGACATGTGAGATACGCATTGGAGTGAACAGTGGGGTGCACAGCCTGCAGGGTACAAGCCGTAGTGGTGACAATGGGGAGAGCTCTCCCTCCACTTTACCTGCTGTTTTAACTCTGCAGTCCCAGCTGGGCCACTGAGACACCATTCTGCAGCCAGTCAGGCAGATTTGTTCTTTTACCCCTCCTTGACACAGAGGTTTTATCAGAAACCTGATCAATTTGTTTAACTGCCACTCTAGGCTTGTTCAAATAAAATTCAAGATTTCACTGGGAGACCCTTCATCTTGTTTGTCCATGGCTTGGGATTTAAACAAGCTTTGGGGCTGTTAATGTTTCCCTCCTTGATGAGCCCTCAAGGAGGAGGAATATTGCTTCTGACAAAGCATTTGCATATTGTGCAGAGCTGCAAAATTAGCAGTGGCTACAGTTCCACAGCAAGCAAATTAGAGAGAAAAAGTGTTGTGCTTTGCAGGTGCAGGGCAGTAAAGGAGAGGGTTCCTTAGAAAATTAATTATGGGAGGTACAACTGGACTGTGCATTTGCACTGTCCACATCCACCACACGCCCAGAGTGGCCACCCGCTCCCAGCAGCCTGGGAAACTGGTGGCAGCTGTTTTCACTGGGAGGTGCAAGGCTGGGAGTTACTGGGAGCCCTGGGGTGAGTTCAGGAGGACCTGGCTGCGATTCTCCCCCCCTTTAAATGATCCTTTCACTCACTTCAGCCCCCCTCCCCGATAGTCTTTGAGCATCACGAGATCTTGCTAAACCCCAGTGCCTCGACTGGAGGAATTCTCCCGAGGGCCCTTTGTGTTGCGGTTTCTCTTCCTACTTTTCCCGTCAAAGAAATTGAAAAGTCACTGCGGAGAACGCGGGCGATGCACGGCGTAGGGGTGATGGGGACGGGGCAGAAGGGCCCTTATGGGAGAAGAGGACTTAAAGCATCTTACCTGCAGGAGGAGGAGGGCAGGACGTAGGCTGGGCACCATCCTCAGCTGCCCCTGCGCCCAGCTCCCCGGGGCATGGCCGGCAGCGTCCCCGCTCCTGCCGGGCTGCTCCTGCCGTCGGGGAGACAATCCTCTGGGCTTCCAGCGAAGGAGCCTGGCGGGTCCCGCAGGGCTGCGCGGAGGCTGCGGGTCCTTCTGCGTCCCGGTCCTGCCTTTTATAACCTCCTCGGAGCCGGTCCTCCGGCTGCCCACCTTCCAGCTCGCCTGGCGATGGGCTACATCCCTCCTCACCAGCCTCCCACTCCCCCTTCTCTCCCTCCTCCTCCTCTTCCTCCTCCCCTTTTCCTTCCTCCACCTCCCTGGTGCCTTCCAACTGTATTTGATTTCTCCCCCCCCGCCCCCCTTTTCTCCTTCCCTCCCTCAGCATCTTCAGCAGCAGAAACTTCCCACCGGCCCAGGGACCGCCCTCCCGCCTCTCCTTGGAGGGGGTTTCTCCTCTCCACCCCTCTCACTCCCATCGTGCAGACGCTGTGGGGTCCCTCCTGTGGAGCCTGGCGGCTTCTTTTGTGTCTGCGAAGGCTTTGGGGCTGCATTTGCCGGGGATGAGGGGATGAGCGGGTGTTACACATTTGGGGATTTCGCTCCAGGGCTCTGTCAGAGGAACTGGGACAAGTGTCCCAGTTTCTCCCAGGTCCCCCCCGTCAGCCTTTGCAGCCCCTTTGCAAAACGGATGGTGAGCACGAAAGGAGGGCAGAGCCCCTTTTCTCTTCCACAGGGATGGGGTGGAAGGGGTTTCAGCCCTGCCTTGCGAGGGAGAGGCTCCTGAGGGAAGAACAGGGATGTGGGGCAGGTGGACTCGGGTCTTCCACACAGCGGGACTGTGCGAGGGATGTTTGATCACAAGGGTGGACCCGGAGGAAGTGGAGGTGCTGCTAGCACCGTGCTTTGTCCCGTAGGCTGGGTTGGTGGCAGGGGCAGAGGTGATGGGACAGGAGCAGGTGGGGTTTGAACTGATAGAGAAGGGGGGGAAGGGTGGGGAACAGTGGTGTGGGAGAGCCTGGATGATGCTCCTGAGGTCTTGCATAATGATATGTCCCTTCTCGCCTAGCATAACCCTCTGGCTTTAAAGGGTCTCCTGTCACACCTCTGTGTCTCAGCTCCTGCAGTTCCCTGGCAGCCATCTCCTGGTCTCCTGGGGAGGGATTCCACACACCCCTGTGTCCCGGGGTTGATATGGTCAGGATTGTGTCCATCCCTGAGTTGGTAGGCTGGGTTAAACCTGCTCCCCCATGCCAGGGCAGTTTCAGAGCATGCCTTCTGTACTCACTGAGGTTTAGGGGGGTGTCCCACTGTGGGTGCTCTGCCTATCCTGGGAGTGAGCCCAGCTCCATCAGCCTGAGGTGAGCTGGGGCAGACAGCCAGGCAACAGATTGTTGCTTCCTTCTTTCCTTGAGGAAATAAGGATCAATGAGGTGTACTGCTGGGAGGGGGGATGCTGGAAAATATTGCCATGGGACCACCATCTAGGGGTGTGATATTTCCCTTAGCTGATGACGCTTCATCTACCACCAGCCTCTCACAGGGTGCTGGATTGTGCTCCCAGCTGCAGGCTCTGCCTCTGGGAATGGCTGCAGACCACAGCAGGTTGCAGATAAATCAATAGAAGGGCAGAGTCTCTTGATGAATTCACGGCCACAGCCTCTATCCATCTTTACTGAGCTGCTCTTTGTCTCTGGAGCACCTGCAGCTGCAGGACCAAGGCACAAGTACTGAGCAGGGCTGTGTCCCAGCATGTGGGGGCACCTAGTGACCCATCCTGGCCCCCAAAGGGTAAATGCTCCTGGCCCAGTAATTAAGGGGAATAAACAACACAGACATAAATCTTTTGGCGTTAGCTGGGTTAAATCAATTGTGTCACTGCTTTGACAAAGAAATATGAAAATATTTAAATCTCTGGTAAATTCAGCAAACTTTTGTTTCTGAGATATCTTAACATCCCTCCTGTGACAAGTATGGGATGAGACAGACTCCAGAGCCACCCTTGTGTTACCTCTCACTTCAATAAGCCCATGGAAAATGCATAATTTTCTACAAATGGCTTGAGACAGCTTGCTCCAAATAATTTTGAGCATCCTGGATTCAGCTGAGGGCATCACAGGATCATGGAATTGTTTGAATTGGGAGATCATGTAGTTCCAAACCCCTGCCATGGGACACCTTCTACCATCACAGGTCTAGGGCACAGTTCCTGGTCACAAAACACACTCTGGTTTTGGAGGCTGCTCAGGGCTTTGTGCACCCAGGGGACAGAAGGGACCTTGCAATGGGAAGCACAAGAGACCTTATTCCCACACCAAGACCAAGGATTGTCTTTCATCATCTCAGCCTGCCCATGGCCAGCAAGAAGGACATGTAGGATGGCCATGCTCTGCTCAGGTGCCCTAAGTATGAGGTGATGCAAGGAAGGCAGAAGTGAGCACTATTTTTAGTTAAGGAATTGGTTGCCAGGGACATGAAAATAATTCCTTCCCCATATATCAGGGAAAAGGCTGCAGTGTTGTTTAAAGCACCTAATTGAGGGGATTTATAGTAAAATGCAACTTGTCAGATGTGGCAAAGGAAAAATAGAACAGTCCCTGAGACACAGAAATCAGTCCATTTGTCACGGTTAATCTCAAACTTCTCGATGCAGTGCAGAGACAGATGTTGGATATGGCTTTTAGGGATGGAGACAATGAAGAGAAATATCGGATATCTAGGAAGGAGGGAGAGATTGAGTCTGACTTACCTGCCTTTGGTAAACTATTATTTTATGTAACTCCATGTGGTTTGACAGTCCTGTGTCTGAGCAGCTCCATGACAGCTGCACTTTGGGGCTGTTTGCAGGACTTACACCACTGCCCTGCTCCCACCCTGTCCCTGCAGCCAACCTTCACCTGGTTTGGGAAAACTCCATGTGTCCCTCCTGCAGTATAGGGATGAGACTGGGACTGTTCCGTGCACTGAAAGGGTGCAGGGAAATGCATCCTTGCTTCTCCCATGGAGCACTGGTAGCAGGGCTTTGCTTCCAGCTAGGACATCTGTAGGAGAAAATAATCCTCAGTGTCCTGGACATTTAGGCCAGTTTGGTGGAAAGGTGAGGTTTAGCTTCTCAGCTGAAATCCCAGCTGAGATCAGCAGTGTGCCTCAATTTCCCCACCTGTGTGTTGGGACTGTTTCTTTCCCAGGAGGTTGAGTGCAGCTGGGAATGCTCGGGGCACTGCTCAGGGGAGGACAGGCTGTCAGCACATGGGGCTGTGTTAGCAACTGCAGGCCAAGAAAAAATCCAACCCACCACATTGTTTCTCCCAGGAGACTTGTTTTTTGCCCCGCTTTTAAAATTAGTTTCCAGGTTTTCTGTCCTGTGTCCTTTTCCCTCCTCCTAGACCTGCAGTGAGGGGAACACTCTCTCAAACTCTGCCTGACTAAAGAAAGTAGCTGCTGGGATGAGGTTCCTCTCATTCCTGCTTACCACATAGTATAATCATGCCTCATATTTGAGTATCCCTGTTGTATTTGACCACTCTGTATCACCTGCTTCACCCCTGCAAATCTCAGGTGCTCTGAAACGAAGAGCAGGAAAGCTCAAGCCACAGCCCTGCTGAAAACATTGCAGGGAAAGAAACCAAAGATTGTTACCAACCTCATTCAGTGAGTATTACCTTAGAGCTGTGCTGGCAGATTTTCTTGAAGGCCTTGCAAATGCTTGGGTGGCCTCTGGACACTTCAGACCCCTGTTCGTCCCGTCAAACTCTGCTGGAGATGCAGAAGAGTCCATGCAGGAAGACAAACTAGTGTCCTGCTGGGAGAAGGAAAACTCAGACACATGGAGCTGGGTTTACTCTGACTCATTGCTCCATGCAGCAAGTGACTGATTCTTTCATTTACACGGATAAATCCCCCCTGCCATTTTTAATTCCCACACTGTGTGCATTAATAGGAGATCCCACATTTACAAAAACATGGCAACTGCAAACTCAAGGAAACCCACAAAGATTTGGGATCTAACTGAATTTCTCATTTGCTTCCCAAGTTTCTCAAAAGTGTTTGCCATGTTTTTCAAATTGCTTTTGGGAGGATGTGTCAGTTTTGAATATAACAGAAACACAAAAGCTTTTGTTCTTCAGCTAATTAAACCTCAAGGCAGAATGCTAAACTGATCATAATAAAAGTCATAATTATTATTTTTCTCATTCAAAGCAAAGTCAACTGAAATTTCCCAATCAGCAGTTGGCATTTCCCATCAAACAGATCACAGTGGTTTGTGGTTGGGAAAAACTCCATGGTTTTATTCTGGAAACTGATCCCACCAAAGCAGCAGCAGAAAGTGGCTCTGTCTTCACACCGTGTGTGACACAGAGATGCACAACACTGTCAGCTTTGAGCCTCTTTGTAGCTGTGTCTGGCAGCATAGGAACACATCACAATTCTGCTGCATTGTCTGTTGTTGTACAGATGTACATGAGTTCTTATGGATATACAAGGATGTACAGAGACTCTTCCATGCATCATGGAATAATAAGATTGGAAAATCCCTCCCAGACCATGGAGTCCAACCTGTGCCCCATCCTCACCTTGTTACCAAACCTAGAGTACTGAGTGACATGTCCTTGGACACCTCCAGGGATAGGGACTCCAAACCTCCCTGGGCAGTCCCTTGCAATGCTTAATAGCTCTTTCCATGAGGAAATTCATCCTGATGTCAAACCTGAACCTCCCCTAGCAGAGCTTGACACCATTTCCTCTTGTCCTGTATCTTGTTCCCTGAGAGAAGAGCCCAACTCCACCAGCTGCCCCCCACCCCCCGCTGGTGTTGTGGAGAGCCAGAAGGTCCCCCCGAGCCTCCTTTTCTCCAGGCTGAGCCCTCCCACAGAAGAATGGGCATATCCAGAGTGTTGCACTCACACCTGTTGGCGTTAACTCCACAGCATCATGGATGTGGACATGTCATGGGTGGTGGAAATGTCCTGCAGAGATTGTAGCAGGGATTGTGACGTTCTCAGAAATAGCTTGTGGTAAAAATACTTCCCCACTTCTCAGGTCTGCAAGTAGCCCTCAGGGTAGGAAAGGTTCTGGATGTCTTTCAAATCTGGTTATTTATTCCCTGTATGTTTGATGAAATATTAATCTCCTCATCTCCAAAAGGCAATCAAATAAAACTGAGAAGAGATGACGCACAGAGCCTCAACACAGACAACAAAAAGCAGCAAAATAAAAATGAAATAAAATTCCAAATGCAATGTAGAATTCTATAAAAGACATCTCTGTGCTGGCATAAAGGGCAGAGACTAAGTGACCTGGTGTCCCCAGGACTTGGCAGGCCAAGCAGAACCGTGCAAGGAAG